CCCCAAAACCCCAAAACCCCAAAACCCCTTAGGTTACTCAAATATTGAAAAATATTAGATATTATATTAATAATAGGTAAAGATATCAAATTATTCTTTTTAAAATACCAAGCTACCTCTGCAAATGTAGTCAGTATTGGGATGTATCATCTTCATATCTCAGGATGACAAAGCAACCCTGAGATGTTATTACAAAATGGGTACAGAAGCGTGTCTAAAGAGACTTCACAGAGAAATTGTAGATATTGGAAAATCTCCCCCAGATGGATGCTCAGCTGGCCCTGCTGATGAGAAGGATCTAATGAAATGGCAAGGCTGCTTGCTTGGACCTGATGGTACACCGTATCAAGGTGGTGTGTTCTTTTTGGATATATTTTTCCCCATAGACTACCCCTTCAAACCCCCTACAGTAACCTTCACCACAAAAATCTTCCACCCAAACATCGATCATGACGGTAATATCTGCCTTGACATCCTAAAATCTAACTGGAGTCCCGCTCTCACCACTTCCAAAATCCTTCTCTCCCTCCGTTCCCTCCTGAACGACCCTAATCCTACCGACCCCCTCGTGCAGGACATCGCCGATCTGTACATGAACGATCATGAAGAATACGTGAACAGAGCAAGCGAGTTCACACAGAATTATGCTGTTGTCCGAGAATATTAATTTTTTGAAATTTTGAAATTTTTGAGTGAAAATTTGGAAATTTCAGAGGGCTTTATGGCTGAGAGATTTTTGGCAGGAAGGTGGTTAATAGGGGGTTTTGGGGAGATGGAGGGTGGGAAGTAGGGGCTGTATGGAAGGAGATATTAGGCTGAGGGTTTTGATCAGAAAATTGTATTTTGGAGAGATGACTATAAATTTGTTAATCATTTGCTTTTAATTCCCTACAATATTGTCATTTTTCTTATTATTAATGATCTGGGGTTTGCTAATCTATCTTTTGGGATGTGTAAATAGGCATAATTAGAATGAATTTTACCCTGCTGTTTTATGGTTTTTAAGAATTTGAAAACGGTATTATAGCTTGTCCTGAGAACGACCTACCTCTTTCAAATCTTTAAAGCGGTTAAAATTTATTAAAGACATTCTTTTCAACTTTCAAAACTCAATGAGGGGTTTTGGGGTTTTGGGGTTTTGGGG